CTTTCTTTGGGAGAGTTCGTGGCCGCCAGTTTTTTTCAGTAATGGGCGACGAATATGCGCTCGGGATGTAAGCCTTAGACGCAGCGTCATTTCGCACCATTTGCGCATGTAGCCGCGGGAGTGCTGTGGAAGCCACTCTGGCACCAAGGCTTCCATATCTTCTTCTGTGAGGACGGAGCAGGTTTGATGACACCTCACTTCTGAAATCTACTGGATTCGATGCCGAATAGACGCAGTGTTTAGAAAGCTCTTGTTAGCATTTTTGCTGTGACCCTTCATTTTTGATGAACCCGTCGTGCATTGCCACCATGGGTGGTTCCGATTATTTTGATATTAGTCCTCAAGACAAACACGAGTCCTGCACCAGTTCCATGATAAGACTGATAGCAACAACAACCACCACTACTGAGTCACTACTGTATTCAATGATGATATAGTCATATCGCCTCAAGAACGGCTGCTGTTTGCGGTCCAGCGCGCAATAAGTCGTAATGGGTCCCAGTACTTGGGATCATCGTTGGAAGCCTCGTTGTGCGTGCTGGCCCTTCGAACTGGCGCAAGAACGCTCTCGGATCGTAGTACCTCCCACCGCCCTGACTCCTTGCAGCAACCGGCTTTCTTTTCATAGGTTCCTCGCACCGTGTATGCAGGTCGAAACCGTGTGCAGCGCATATCATTGTTCCTGCAGAGCTCGGAAGTGGTCGTAGTTGCCCACGTTGGTGCCGGGAAGCCACCTGTCGACATTGACGGCCAGTCGGATGTATGCGACAACAGACACAGATTGATGCTTTGCCGCTGTTGTGAGAATGCTGTGGAAGTCACCATTGCACCAAGACTGCCAGTTTGCTTCTAATGTGAAATTCTATGTGGCGCGCCGAGCACTGACAAACCATGAAGACGAGGACGACGACAGCTGCTGCTTTTGCTGCTTTTGCTCCTCCTCGTCCACCTCCTCATTTCTCCACGTACTACTCTACTACATTGTACCACCACCCATAGCCAATGAATGATATTCTTAATTGCACCAGCCCGGCGACATTGTGCTGTTGGCTGCGGACTAATCTCCTCTGCAGAATGTGAATTAGTTGTGTGAGGCTTTAACCGTTGAGAATATCATGTTTTTGTTTACGTGTTCATGCCGAACTCTGACACACAACGTGTCTTTCAGGAGCGCAGATGACGCCAACGAGAGATTCTGCAGATGTTGTCCGGAAAGATGCCTACACAGTGCTGCCAGTCAGCGAAAGAAGAATGCGGGCCTAGTAGCTCTTCGTTTCGGTTGTGGAGTATCAGCTAACATCAGATTGTCAAGATGACTGGTTGAGCTGGAACATGACGCGCTCTGCGAGCCCTTTGGAGCTCTTCCACACCGTGACCCACCGTCTACAGCGAACCGGTATTGAGTCCCACGGAGCAGAGCAAGAACCTTTGAATTGAGCGCTAAGGCTCTAAGGCTTGAGCCGAGAACCTAGTTCTAGTATTGAGGCGACAGACCATGACAGACCTCAAACTCGGAGCCCGTTGCCAGAGTGCCACTTCGGAAAGTACTCGAAGCCCGTATGTCGAAAGCCATTTCTGCATGATCATGCAGATTCTCGCACAAGCGCACTTCGTTGTGCTGGCTCTCAGGCACATCCGGTCTTTAACATGTCTAGATCCTACTTCACCCAGACTTCACCCAGCAAAACCCACTTACAAAACCAGTTTCTGTCAGCACGTTTTTTTGCTACATTCAACCTAGACAAGCAAACAGCGACACACCAACATTAGTGTGCCTGATGGCTCCCTCGGAGGGATCAGAGGGCGAGCGAACTATCGAGTTAAAACGAGGCCTGTGCCGTGTTTTTTTACAGATGCCCTCAAGTATTGGATAGTAAAGCTCTCCCGTCGCAGACCAGCATTGATTGTATGGGGATTTTTCAGTTAGCAGAACCCTTGCCCATTTTGGGCAATAACACCACCAGTCACCCTACATATAGGAATAATCTTCTAATGGGGTGACCGGTGGCATTATTACACAAAATGGGCAAGGGCTCCGCTAACTATTTTTGCGCACAGGCGCTTTCCAGTGCATGGCAACTGCGGTTCGTTCAAGTGTAGGAGCCTCTCAGCTTCAATCGACATTTCCCATGCACAGGACAATCACAAGTTGGCAAAGCCGACTTCCCGGAAAATGGGGCAGCCGCCTGAGCATTTGCGCGAGGATTCTTCAGCTTCGCATCGTCGTTGTTGTTGAAGTTCGTGGATTCCGCCCGAATGCTCGAATTCAACACCAGGTCAAGACGCAAAAGTACACCCCCTGGAACTTCCTGCCCAAGAACATTTGGGAGCAGCTTCAGAAGTTCGGCACCTTGCCGGAAAGGCAGTTGCAAGAATGCCAATGTATTCAGTTCAGGATACATCCACACTCCAATCGTAGCCGTGTTTGCGGCCGCTGCGACTGTAAGGCAACTGCTACTTTCTAGTCATATCCGTGATCATGTACCTCGGCGAGAAGACGCCCCTTTTTGTTGGGACGATCAGAGCATTCTCAACGCTTGGCCTGCTAGTCGGGGCCTTGGAAAGACTTCTTGCGCTCGACTTCTGACTGATGCGAATGGTTTATCGAGTCTGAGTGTCAGGCATTTCGTGAATTTGGCTGATTTCCACGTGTCAGTTAGATTCGGCAAGCACTGTATTCGCCAGGTCATGATGATGGCCGTCACGGCAGCCATGGCTTTGTATGACGACCTGCAGCGGCAACGTGCTGATTATGAGATCAACACCTCCGAAGCCAAGAAAATCAGAAAGGGGGAAAGGGAGGCGGACCTGCACGATCTCAGAGTGAGTCACGAAGATCGCGATGGGTTCTTGAGTGGTTGGTTGATCATACTGAAATCCTGCTGGCCACGGTGCGCTTGTCGCTTTGCAAGTTAACCCCGCTCCTCAGCCAGCCAGTCTACTTGCCAAGCTTGGGCGTGAACAGCCTCCAAGCATAAAGTCCTCAGGCCGTGCCCGTCCAGTTCCAAAAGATAAAGGTTGGAGATGTCCTCGTCGTGTCGAAGGACCCCGGACACTGGGGCCTCCTTTGGAACGAAAAGCGATGGTGGTGCAAGCTTTGGTCATTCTGGAAATCGGTATTTCCGCTGTTTCGCCGGTCCAGGGACCTCAATGTTTCAATTCCCTTGCATCTGTGGACAGGACGAGGAGTTTGCGGCAGATTGCGTGCCAATCTACTGCTCGGGTGAGGATGGCAACTGCTGCTTGGGCACAGATTGATGGCAGAAAGTAGTGCGATCCCGAAACCCTAATGCCTAAACCTTAAACTGTGCGATCATGAACATTGCCGTGAGGCTCACTCGCCTGTCTATGACCTGCGTTTGTGCACGGAAGTACACCCGATAACAACCAAACCTCAGGAGGTTTACTTCGAAGAGGTCCACAGTGTGGCATGACCTAGTCCCTTAATCCATAAACAAAATCTGCTTTACAGCAGTGCTCCGAAGAAGCGTGCAAAACCGACCTTGGTTTTGACAAGAGTCTGAATGACTCCTAACACCTTAAACCGATCTGCAGGCTACGTCTCCACTGCCAACTTGGATGGAGAGACCAACTTGAAGCTGAAGCTTGACGGCAATGGACTGTCATACAACGGAGTGTATTCTTATCCTTGCTTGCCTCGGATTCGGTTCTCAAATGAGACTGTCAGGGTCTTGGAAAGAGGTTGGCCTGAAACTGCAAAGTACAAGTCGAATGCATGCATGCCTCGCGTGGTTGGGAATATCTGGCATCCCGCAGGACTCCGTCCGATTGTTGACTCTGTAAAGCGCAACACATATAATCATATCATGTGCACATGGACTTGCATCATTGCATACATACATACCTACATACGTACATACGTACATACATAAATGCGTACATACATACATACATGCATACATACATACATACATACATACATGCATCATTGCATACATACAGACCTACATACGTACATACGTACATACATACATACATACATACATACATACATACATGCGTACATACATACATACATACATACATACATACACATACATACACATACACACACANNACATACATACATACATACACAATATGCCTACATACATACATACATACATACATACATACATACCTACATACATACATACATACATACATACATACATACATACATTCCGCGCTGCAAAGACGGTCTCTGCGAGCGTCCTCGGGGCAAGACGCCTCGCGCCCCGGCACGCGGCTGTGACCATTGTCACACCCCCAGCTATCCCTGCTCCTGCCCTCCCTGCGGACACCCATAAGCAGGACAGGAGCCCAAGTAATCGGTGACTGGATGAATACATACATACATACATACATACATACATACATACATACATACATAATGCATACATACATACTTACACGCATGCAGTAATACATACAATAATACATACAGTATAATACAATACAATACAAATACAGATTCAGATACACATACAAATACAAATACGGATACAGATACAAACACAATACAAATACATTACAAATACCCAAATACAAAACAATGCAGTACAGTACAGTACAGTACAGTACAATACAGTACATACATACATACATACATACATACATACATACATACATACATACGTACCCTGCATGCAGACATACGTAGGTACATGCATACATACATACATACTTACATACATACATACATACATACATGGTATACATACACACACACACACATGGGCACATGAATCGACATGTCAACTGAACCCACACACCCAACGGGCACACCCCTGGACCCTAAACCCGAAAAAGCTGAACCTGTAAACCCTGCGACCACAAGACCCAGGCTCCCGCAACCCCTGAACCCTGAACGGTTGTACCTAAGACCCCCTCCCAGACCCTGCACCCCTTAGCCCCACACCCCTCAACCCCTGAACCCCGAACCCTTAGACCCTAAACCCTGAACCCCTAAAAACTCTCCGGCAAACCCGTTGGAAAGCCTTGCCCTGCGAGACGCCGATGCACAGCATGGAAAGGTTGCTAGTGGTGAGCTGCCTCTAGAGATTTACGGTTTAGGGCTTCGGGGTTGAGGATGTTTTGGTGATACGTAGTTTTTGAATGCTTAAGGATTCCTTCAGAGGATCTCAGTACCTGGGGGTTGGGCTTTAGGGCTGTTTAGGGCTTTAGGGCTTTTGGATTCATATTCGCCTCGGCCCCCGGCCGAAGCGGTCAGAGGTTCCTATTCGGACTTCCTGTAGACCCCACC